GATAAAGGAAATACTGTGGATTTGGTTTACCTTGATTTTCAGAAATCATTTGATAAGGTGCCTCACAAAAGATTTGTTGCAAAAATGAAATCTGTAGATGTGGGTAAATGTTATTAACTTGATAGAAAATTGGCTGAAGAGTAGAAAACAGAGAGTAGTAATAAATGGAGTTAGATCTGACTGGATCACAGTTACAAGTGGTGTGCCTCAGGGCTCTGTGCTGGGTCCTCTGCTGTTTCTGATTTATATTAGTGATATTGACTCTTGAATGACTAACAAAATATTGAAGTCTGCAGGTGACATTTAGATTTTGGGGGTATCTAACTGTATCAAAGATGTTGCAGACTTACAGGGAGAGTTAGATCATTTGATGCATTGGGTCAAGACGTGGTAGGTGATGTTTAACTACTCAAAATGTAAGGTGATGCATGTAGGTTTTCATAGTTCAAATTATTGTTATGATTTAAATGGGAATACTTTAAATACTGTGGTTGAAGAAAAATATCTTGGTGTTGTGATCGAAAAATCACTTAAGTAAACAGTGTGTTGTAGCTAGCAATAGGTCTAATAAAATTTGGGGTAGTATCTATAGAAATATTGAATACAAGACAAGGGATATTATTGTTTCACTGTATAGATCACTTGTAAGGCCCCATTTAGAGTAGATTGTATAGTTTTGAGCTCCCTTTCTCAAGAAGGACATTGAATTGTTAAAGAATGTTCAGAGAAGAGCTAGTAGGATGATACCTGGGATGGTGGGATTGTCCTATGAGGAGAAACTAAAATCTCTAAACTTGTTTTCTCTGGAGAGGAGAAGGGTCAGAAGGGATTTGATTGAGGTGTTTAAGATTATGAAGGGTATTAATAACGTAGATCCATCAAAGTCTTTTGTGTTTAGCAATGAAAACAATAAAGCAAGGAATTATAAATTCAAATTTTGGCAGCGTAAGAGTCGTCTGCAACTTAGACAGTATAACCTTTCAAACAGGGTGGTTGGCTTTTGGAATGAGTTCAAGAAAAGATTAGACGAATACATGAGTAGTAAGGGGTGGTTATAGTTTGGAGCTGGAAGGGACATCCTTGATGGGCTAATAAGCTCCTTTTTTTTTCTTTAATATTTTATGAATTTTATAAGTTATTACTGCATTAGTAAAAGAATCATTATTTGTGTGTCCTTACATTCTCTCATCTTTATCTTGTAGAGCATGCTGAAAGTGGATTTAGTATCGTCTGAAACATCTGCTAAAGTTTTTCACTGCATCGGTTATCCAACACAGTTGTTAACAGCTGACTAGCAGATAAGTACCGATATACGCAAGTTACTTGATGCATGTGGCACAATTTTATTAAAAACGAATATAAGTAAACTCCCAACATAAAACATCCTAATGAAATGTTCAAAGAATAATTTGCTGTGATAAGAAAAACCCAAAATACTAAATCCACTCCTTTCTCATTCGATTGGCAATTATAAAAGGACATTAAATACCTAGTTACAAGAATAAACCGTTTACGTCACAAAGTAAGTCTCGATATTTTTTGTTTGTTTGAAGTTAAGGACAAAACTAAACAATAGGCTATCTGTGCTCTGCCCACCCCGGGTATCGAAACCCAGTTTCTAGCGTTGTAAGTCTGCAAACATACCGCTGTACCACTGGGAGGCAAGTCTCGATATAAACACATTTGTATAATCTTATTTATCAATTTAGTTTGATCTATATCAAATGATAAGTAATCAAATTATAAACAGAACGTTAATTCATATCCCCATGTAACATCTCACCAAAAGAAAGAAGAACACATTTGTCAACAACAACTTCTAATCTGGTATTCAAATTACTATGGGTATGAGTATGATATTGATGAAAAATTGAATCCATAGCCACCTCATTTTCAGTCAAGTCATACTTATATTGCTTTACCTAAACCAAAGTTAATTAACTCATTTTGAAAGATTCATAATTTAAAGTGGCTCTACGTATATCTAGTTTCATTATCAGAAAGCTGAAGTTTCAATGTTATAGTTTTCATGCACTAAAAATGTACTTCTCATAGATACTTACCTACTACCTACATAATAGCTTTTCTTGTTCAGTGATCGCCACTAGCCTTGATATTCCCACCTACTCCCATGTGTTTACACGTGTTACAACTGCACCACAGCATGCAAACAAGCATGTGACAGCCCTCCAACAATAGCAATGAGACACACCCTCTTGGAATAGTTGACTCCCTCTATACTGTATAACCCAATCTTCACTTCAAGATTAGGCAAACAAAGAAGCAGTGAAAGCGGGGAGGATGGGCGGGAAGTGTGAGAGAGGTAAGTATCTATCGGAAATGCATTTTCAGTGTAGGAATATTATAACTTCCGATACGATACCTTACTTCCACCTTAACAGCTAGAATCCCACATTGACTGGTGCAAGGTTTACCTAGAAGAACATTCTTCAGAAGGCGTCTGAAGAGTGCCCATGGAGTGTGAAACCTCATTGTGGAGTGACACACCTGTGGTTAGACTGCACCACATCTGTACCAGGTATACTCTTCACCCGTTGTGAAGATATGGGTCACTACATTGGTCGAAAAGGACGCACATCCAATACATAATTGGACGTGCCAAAAATATGTAGAGTGGTTACAGTGCATGATACCATATTCAGTGGGTCCACTCCAGTCCAAAATCAAGTGGCATTGGGTATTCATCATCTGGTACATGGTAGGAGGGTCTCTTCCATTTTCACCTCAAGACTAGGAAGCAGAAGGGAAAATGGCTTCTGCACCACCATCCTAACCAGGGCACATATGTGCATACCCAGTACACAACCAACGACAGGTCAGAAAGGAACTCGACACCTGAAGGTGGAATGTAATGTGGTAGGTCAACTCCAGTCCAAAACTTAGTGACATTGAAAATTTATTGTCTTGGCTGCAGTAGGAGGAGGGTCCCTAGCAGCCTACTCCAATACCAAACCACTCACGAACCGACATCCAGGTGGTGATAGGATGAAGGATCCCAGTCGGA